AGTGTGAATTCACAGATGACCACTCGAAGAACCAGAGTTACAGGTAGGTCACCTCTTTTTCTTCTTCATGGTCTCTGTGAATGCACCACCACCTAGCAAGCTGACTTACCAGGTGGTGGGCGTCACAAAAAAACATGCCAAAGCCCGTCCAACAGCAGCCTCTGCTTTGGCTCGAACATCTAGATGGTAGTGGATCACAAAGGTGAGTGGCGTGGACCATGTAGCAGCCTTGCAAATATCTGCCAGGTTTACTCCTCTAAGGAAGGCTGTGGAGGAGACAACTGCCATAGTAGAACGGGCCCGAACTGTAGTTGGCAAAGGTGCACGAACCACTTCATATGCTAGGCGGATTGTAGTAACTATCCACCGGGAAATTGTTTGTGCTGACACCGGGAGACCCTTTGACTGTCCTTGGAAGGACACAAATAGTCATTGCGAGGAATGAAAGGATGCAGACCAGGAGACATAATAGGAAAGTGCTCTCTTGACATCTAAGGAGTGGAGAGCCTTCTCCAGCCTTGACGTTGGACCTGGAAAAAAACATAGGCAATACTATAGGCTGATGAAGGTGGACGGCTGTAGCCACCTTTGGCACAAAAGAGAGGTCTGGGAAATAGGGTCACCTTATCAGGGTGGAATTGCAGCATGGGCGGGTCAACTCAAAGAGCCATCAGTTCACCAGCATGTTGCGTCAAAGTTAACAGCGAGGAGGAAGGCTGTCTTTAGCGTAAGTAGCTTTAAAGAAGTGGTAAGCCATAGGCTCAAATGGTGGATCCATGAGTTTGTTCAATACGAGCTGCAAGGACCACTGAGGTGTAGGCGGTTTGTAGGCTTGACACATATTTTTGAGACCTTTCAAAAACTGTTTTAGAACTGGATGGCGGAACAAGCCCGCGGCGTTTGAAGCCAGAGGTTGATGGGCCATTATTGCGAGAATTGCATAGTGACAGGTACCAAGCTTGAAAGAACTGTTTTAGAATTGGATGGCGGAACAAGCCCACAGCGTCTGAAGCCAGAGGTTGATGGGCCACTATTGCGAGCATTGCATAGTGACAGGTACCAAGCTTGAAATGATCTCATTTTCAATCTGGCGTGCTGAACTACTGTGGTGGTGGAAGCCATTAGGCCCAATAATAGCTGCGCCTGAAGAGCCTGCACTTCGGCTCCCGAAGTGAAATGTTCCAACATCGCCCGGATCTTTGCAATCCTGTCTTCAGGAAGGAATGGCCAGCCCAAGGTGGCGCCCAATATCCCTCCAATGTAGAAGACTTTCTGAGTAGGGTATAATGTGGATTTTTCCTGGTTTACCTGGAGTCCAAGATCAGATAAAAGGGACAAAGTAAATGAAGCATCTTGAAGCTGATAGACTCCCAAGCGTGAAGGAATGGTGCTAATCAGGTTAAGGTGGGGGATGCTGCTGGCGGGCCAACAGTGTTAAAGGTTTTGCTTGGCAGCCGAAGCATCTTGAAGCTGATAAGACTCTCAAGCGTGAAGGAATGGTGCTAACCAGGTTAAGGTAGGGGATGCTGCTGGTGGCCCAACAGTGTTAAAGGTTTTGCTTGGCAGCGGGCCTGTTGATGAGGCCGCTGTTGAGCAAATTGTTGCTGGGACTGACCTGTAAAACCAGTTGTTTGCATCCTCTGGCAGTCCGGGTAAGGCCGATAAGTGTAAGGTCTGCGCCAGGAAGTCCTTGGATGGGATTGGGCATTGTATGACTGGCCGTTTTACGGAGCTTCAAGAGGTTATCAAGAGTCTCGTTCGTTTTCCCATCAAAAAGACCTACCCCATCAAAGGGCAGGTCTTTTATTCTGGCCTTGGCAGCGTCAGAGATACTGGCTGAACGTAACCAGGCATGTCGACTTTGCTTGGCAGCAGCGCCCACAACATGTCCAGCAGCAATCCTTTCCTGTCTTGCCAGGGTCATGGCCTCTTGATGGCAGGTGAGGCTTGGCAACCTAAGGTCCTCGGGTGCAGCCTGCAGTGCTGGCAAGACGATACTCCATAAATGGCGATGAAAAGCACCCATTGCTGCCGTGTAATTCGCCACTCAAAGAATGAAGGATGCTAGGGAATAAACCCTACATCCCAGCACATTCATTTTTCTTCCTTCCTTATTGCTGGGCATGGATGCAGATCTATTCCTAACTCTATCTTGTGTTGCATCCATGATGTAAGAATTAGGCAGAGGATGCTTGGAAGAGAAGTCAGTATCCTTGCCGTCAGTATTATAAAAGTTCTCAACCTTCCTGGGAATTTGATGAGACGTTGATGGTTTGTCCCAATATTCTTTAACCAGGTTGAGGAGGGAGGATATGAAGGCTAAGCAAAGGGGGGGGCACCTGATCCTTTGTGATGTCTTCATAAACCTTATCCACTTGTTCAGCAGTAGGTTGTACCACTGCAGGGTCCATGACTTCAGCAATTTTCTTGATCAGGTGGGAATACATTGTATAGTCCTCGGAGGGAGACGGTGGATGACTCTCTGCAACCTTTGAAGCCAGAGTCGGATGTTCGGAGGAGAGTCTTTTTCAACCTCTTCGTCGGTGTCACCCGAATCGGTGTCAAAGTCATAGTTGTGTTCGGGAGAGTGGGAGAAAGATGATCGGCCTCAAGCCAACCCATACTGGTTGAGTTGGATAGCTGAGGCATCAACCTCCTCCTCCTCTGGCCCCTGTGAAGTCCTGCTTGCCAACATCGGTGGTGGGGGAGCCGGCCCCAAATCTGCCATGACACCGAGCCCGGTGGTGACAGAGGGCTGGCTCGAGTCTCAAGCTGTATCTCCACTGAGCTATCCACCGATCCCGGAGAAAGAGTTATGCACGGAGATGGCACTACCTCCGGCCTCGAGGGAGGAACATCATCTTCTCCCGGCAGTATACTTAGACATACCACCTCATGCAGGGCATGGGAACACCGGAGCTGACGGCGAAGGCTCAGTCGGGGGTCTAGAAGTCTTGGAAGACAACTTCTTTTTCTTTCTCAGCATCGAGGCCGAAGGCGCTTTCTATGTCGACACTGAAGCTGTCAATCTTGAGCCAGAGGACGACACTTTTGCTGGTTTGTGACCAGCCCTAGGTAAGAGGTCCCGGAAGGCGGAGCTCGTGGTGGTTCCACAGCCAAGGCTCATGCCAGGCAAAGCGGCTTCTCCCACAAGTAGGAACGAAGCCGCTGCAGTCTCTGCTTTAGGGCAGGCTTAGTAAAAGCCTTACAAATGGTGCATAAAGCAGGCTGGTGCTCCTCTCCGAGACAGAACAAGCACTGTGGATGGCCGTCAGAAAGCGGGACCTTGTTAGTGCAGGACACGCAGCATTTGAAGGGCCCTGACGCAGCCATAAACTTGTAGAAAAAACAGTCAAACAACACAGTTCTATTCTTAATGTTAGACTCACAAAACCAGAAGAATGGTGAAAAACAAGCCGAAGTAGAAAAAGCCGGGAGGTCCAAAGAATGATTTAAGGTTGAAGGGAAAAAGAAATAATCATGAAGCTCCAATTCGAGCTGCAGTAGCGGCAGCAGAAACAGAACTGAGGCACTAAGCGCCGGAGGCAGGATTATAGCCAGTGTGTGGGAGGTCCTGGCACCATTTGCTTGAGCTCTAGAAGATTCCAAAGCTGCTCTGTGCAGGCGCAAATTAACCCATTAGTGTGCATTCACAGAGACCACGAAAAAGAACACATGGATCCTCTGCTCGCTTTTTCAGATCACCATTCAATTAACTGTGAAAAGGAAAGAAAACTTAAGATCCCTTAATGGGAGGCAGACATTCAGATCTGCTCTTTGCTAGGAGTCTTACTGGATCGAGCGATCACTGCTTCTGCTTTAAAATATTGCAAGAGCACTGTGAAGCCATCAATTTATTTAAAATAGTTTTAAACCCACCCACCTCTTTTTCATCAAGAGGGACCCAAGGCAGCTTACATCATTAAAATATATTTAAAGCTAAAAATAACCTATACAAATACTAAGAAGGCTCAAACAAAAACCACACTAAAAGGTGGTGAACAGAAGCAACATCAAAAACACATTCCAAGTAGGAAGGCACAGCAATCCATTCAAGAAGCCCAACTGGGGCAGCCGAGTAGGGTTCTAGAATGGATTAAGGGATTCTGAGGCTCTGAGACATCTTAGAAAGAGAGCTAGGGGCAACCTAGGAGAACCCCTCTCCTCAGAGCAGGAAATCCAGAGGTAAACCAAAGGCTTCCAATTAGCGGTCTTGGACTTCCAGAGGGCCTCCCAGTGACTAAAGCCATTAATACAGCTCAAGGATTCTGGAGCTCAAAATCCAATCCATCTGGAGGGCCAATGGCTGAAAAACCAGGACCCACACAATCGCCAGCCAACAGCTGAAAAACCTCTATGCAAGGGTGGATTGCATAGATATAATTAAGAGGCGTTCCTGACTCACAACCCGAGGGTCTAGCCTTACTAAGTGGAGGCTCTTTTGTGTGAGTCTGAAGGAGGTTGCTGCTGCTCGCCCAGGGAGTTCAGGATGCTGGTTTACCTTCTCTGAAGGAGGCCCACTCTGGTCTGCGAAGAAAGCACCACCCAGGGAGTAGGTTAATCCCATCATCAGATGAGGAAGGCTTTTATTCCACCTGTCTCCTTTTGAGTCCTCCCAGTTTTCCTTCCAGAGCAAAGCACAGAAAAGGTAAAGCGGGAAGCCAGAGAAACAACGAAGAATTTTTAAAAAGTGCCTCTGATGAGAAAGCACCTGTCCTGGGCATGGCAGGAGACAGAAAACCGGGAGGAGCCAAAGGGGGACGACGGGTATGGGGACGACCCACTCCTGTTGGGCTCCAAGGCCCGCCTACCATTCCCACCAATTTCTGAAGGCTGCAGGTCTGCCACATCTATGTTACAGGGTGCCAGGCTGGGGGGTTATAGACCAAACAACTAGGGTAGCGTTTTTTTGAGGAGGAAGCTGCCCTTCTCTTGTCCACTCACCATAATGTCTGCAGGGCTTACCACCCGAGTGACTTCGTTGTATTCTTCTGGAGACAGAGGCAAAAGGTCATCCGTGGTGGGCAGCCTGGAAGGATGACTGCAGAGAAGAAATAAAAACAAGAAGAAAATGACCGTTTCTAAAGAACTGGGACCTACAAGAAGCTACAGATCCTATCTGAATATTCTACTCTCCGGCATCACAGAGAAACAAGGAAACCAAACCACCATGCACCTGGTAAGGAAGAACGTCACGCGCCACAATATTCATGCGGGGTGCAGCAGTACCACAGCATGCTGCAGAAAGCAAAATAACAGAATAAAAGGCGTTCTTTTTAAATATCTACATCATATGCAACTCTAATGGATCCAAACTCATTCTAATTAACGGACAGCCCTTCTGAGTGAGGTAACACCCAATCCTCTGCCTCAACGGGGTCAGTGATGCCCTCAAAGAGGAGGGATCAGCCACCAACAAAGACTTGACTTTACTAGCTACCAATGGTTTTCTGCTGCTAATCCTTCTCAATTACAGAGTTCGTAGTGTTTTCCGATGGTGGGGGAGAACAACATTCATTTGGGGATTAGCCTAAAACCCAACCACTGGTTATAAATGCACACGTATATGTAAGAAATAGGACCTAAGACCTCCTCTGTAGGCTTGCAATCTCAGTAATTCAGAGAGAGAAAAGATAAAAGAGCATCTTTTAAAAAATGCCAGTGTGAAGAAAGGGAATTTTTAAATTGACCTTTTGGATACACAAGTGGCAGGAGTGAGCCACTCAGGGGCCTCCCTTGGCCAACCCTCATGGGGCCCTTGGCTGAATTTCCAAGTCTGAAGCCTTTAGAAACCAACCGGACATTTCTGCAGCAGCTTTCTAGGTGCTGAAAGTGATCAAGAAGCCGTTGGTGTGTGTGTGTGTGTGTGTGTGTGTGTGGGCAGGACGGGGCAACAGGGACAGAGAAAAGAGGAAGGAGAGAATTCATGCCAGAATGTTTGGCTGAGGAGGAGACTTAGGGAGACAAGATGACTCCCTGAGGAGCTGCCTCTCCACAAGCTTCAACCCTGCTGCCATAGGCAGGTTCGGCCTCATCTCATTTGGGAGCCTGGTTGGCAGGGGCTACTTCCTTTCTTCTTCTCCTCACTGCCCTCCATGCCCCTCCAGACCTCCAGTCCCTGACCAGCCAACAAACAGGTTGCCTTAGCACAGACACCGACGACGACGCCCCCCGCAACCTCTCTGTGTGCTCCTCTCCAGAAAGCACTGAACTCAAATCAAAGAAGCACATTAAGCCGATATCCAATGTTCTCATTTTATTTCAAAATCTAAATAGATCTAAAATCTAAAAAATAAATCTTTTTTCTCTCTCCAAGTGTAAGAACAAAAGCATGATTTCTTTTTTTCTCTCTCCAAGTGTAAGAACAAAAAATGTGAGCAGGTAACGCCAGTGTGTACTGGTCAGGATGGAGTAAGTGCTTGGAGGTGGCGGCGAGGAGAGAGGCAGGAGGGCCCCTGCTGTGGCTTCCAGAATCAGCCCAGGCACAAACGCAGGTTGCCATTTGGCTGAGCCGGTCCTTAGGAGGCCGCACGGAAGGCACACATCCACTCTGCGTGAGGGCCAGGAAATGGCAGAGGAGCCGCCCTCCTGCCCTGACATGACACTGACAAAGCTCACGGTTTTGAAAAGGCAACTCAGGAGTCTTCTTTGCACACTCACACTTCCGATACAGAGATTAATTCAGTTTTGATGTATCCTTTCCCTCCGTCTTCCACATCCATGGGTTCCGCAGCTGAAACGAAACAAAACAAAACATGATCTTATTTTAGCATCCACAGAATGGACGGCACCACCCAGGTGAGAATCCACAGTATAACAACGAGTTGTAGCGAAGGCCCTGGGGTGCCTATTGAGACCTATCCGTTTGTTTCATTTATGGTCCACCTCTTTCCAAGAAGCTTAGGAAGACAGAAATGGCGCTTTTCCTACTTATTTATCCTCTCAACCTGCGAGGCTGAAAGAGAGCGAACGACTCATGTTCACCCAGTGAGCTGATAGTTCAGTGGTCAACTAAAATCTGAATTCACCAAATCCCAGGCTCACATCCTAACAATTAAACTATATTGGCTCATTCTCCTGTCCGTGTGAGATTTCCTTCCAAATCAATGCTTACAGAAGCAGAAAGAGGCACCACAGATAACCCATCACTGACCCTGGAAAATTCTTAAGGGATGACAGCGTGTGTTAGAGGAGTCACAGCAACAACTTCTCTCAACTCCTGCAGGCTGCAGATCAGCTTACTCTGCTCTGTGACTGAAGCACGAGACTTAAGTCAAATTTCTCAAACATGAAAGACGTCCACAACCACGCCTCTCCAACACCAATGTGCTTTCAACTCCAATAATGGGTCATTTACCATTTCTGCCCAGGGCTTATCATAAGAGAGAAGAAGGAGCATGTGAATGAGTGTAGCGATGGTGGGCAGTCTAGAATTTGTTTTTAAGCTACTATTGGTTCTGACCTCATAGCAAGCATCTCTGAAATTAAACTGCGTGTTCACAGGAAGGCATTAGCCCTTGCATCATTAGGCCAGAACTATGGGTTCTGCAATCAACTCATCCTTTTAAAAGCCGGACAGCTGCTCCATCTCTCTGACAAACAAGGGCGGGGAAGAGAACAAGAGAAGACAAGCTCAAACCTTCCCATACCTCCTGCTTCTGCTCTATAACCTCTTTTACAGCTGCACCGCCAACCCCCCCCCCCAGGGTTCAAGACCTGGCCCATCTTCTGAGCTGGGGAAAAGGAAGCGCCACCCCTATCTAGTCCACAGTTACAACCAGTGTGTTCCTTTAAAAAGAAAGGAAACACTGCCTGCTACAAATCTGACTACTGCCAAAACTTGACAGAGAAGAGGAATGGTAAACATAAAGCCTTCCCAGATGGTGCTGGACTACAACCTCAATCGCCTCAACCACGAGGTTGAGGCTGATGGGAGCTGTAGTCCATACCATCTGGAGGACTGTACATTCTCCCACTCCTTACAAACCTTCCCATCAGGTAACCTACTCACATTCTTTAGGCCGGGAGTAGTATTTTCCAAACGCGTTGTCTTTGGGAATATTTGGATATAGGTATTTGAGTGGGTTTTCAGGGATATTTTCGGCCGCCATCACTTTGTAATTGCGAATGATATCAGGGAGACTGACAGCCGTGAGTTCTTTCCTTGTGTAGGGTTCGACCGAGTGGAAGTACTGATCTGACAAAAAAAAGGAGGGGAAGGGAGGACAGAGTATGGAGAAAGCGGTATTAATGCATAGTTAAAAGCTCAGCAACTCACAATCTGCCTTGAAGACAAGCGAACCCCAAGTGTTCGCTTGGGGTCTGCTTGGGATCTACCTTGACTCCTTTGGTACACAGTTGCCAACTTTGCCTTCTAACCACTCTGCCTTTAATGGAAACCCACCATTCAAAAATTCATCAAGTAGCATTTTTCATGAAATGAGAAGTCAAATGCTTCTTGACCTACATGTCACACTGCATTTAAAATTACAGGATCTGAACCCCAGGAAGGCGACCTTCTCTCAAAGCCTTGTTTGGGCATGTCTGCTCAAGAAAACTAAGGAAATGACCTTGGGAAGGACACCATGTGTAAGAAATAAAGCAAGAAACCCAGAACACAGAAGAAAAAGCCCTCACCAAAGACAAAAAAAAACTTTGGCCAGAAATCGTACTGGTGCTGATCGGTGAATATGGAAACTAAGATTGGGATTTTAAAAAGATAAGCTTATTCCAGATCAAAATGCTGAATGGCATTTTATTTAGGCACATTAAAACTTTATTATGATACACGGATAAGCATGATCACCTATGCTTATTGGTCAAGTCCTGCTTTTTCAACAGAAAAAGAAAAGAGAAAGGAGGAGCTCGTTCCTGGGGATTCTGCCCTGCCCCCAGGATTGACTTCCGAGTAATTTTTGTTATTAGGATTTACACTCTGCGACAGAGTAGCACTCTGAGATTATAAACCATTCAAGACGCTTACAATCTCTTTAGAAGAATAAAAACAAGTAAAACCATAAAGTAATGAAAACTGCACAAAACCAACTGCATCATAAAAACCACAGATGCCAATTAAATATAAAACTGTAAATGTCGTGTGCTGGTTTTAAAAGCGGTGTCTCTGCACCCTTCCAAAAAAGAAGTGAGAGTGGAAACAGTTTCCAGCTCTGAAGGGAGAGCATTCCACCACCTGGGAGCTGCAGACAAGAAAAGCTCTGGCCGTCTTTTGCAAGCTGTTGGTAGTCTTAAAAAGATCACCCTAGAAGAAGACCTTGACATCTAGGGGGGTTCAAAATGATCTAGGCAGTGCCTGAGACTGCCAGGCCCCACAACCCTATTTAAGGCTTTAAAAGTTACATTCAACACCCTGAATTGGACCTGGCAAGGCCTTCTCCTGTGGGGTTCTCTTAAGATCGCAATGCAGTGTATCAGACGGCGGAGGAGCTGAAGGGAAGACCCTGGATCTTCTTCCAAGGTGTCTCACATACAAGTGCATCGCAGTAGGCAACGTGCTGTATCGTTAACTGCCCCCAAATATGAAGATGAATCAATTCCTAGGTATTTTCCATTTTAACTATTAAAACACAAATATGTACATGTGTCACCTCTCTCTCTCTCTCTCTCTCTCTCTCTCTCTCTCTCTCTCTCTCTGTGTGTGTGTGTGTGTGTGTGGTGTGTGTGTGTGAGAGAGAGAGAGAGAGAGAGAGAGAGAGAGAGAGAGATACAAGAGAAGGAGTCTGGGTCCCTTTCCTAGCAGTTCTTTTCCTGTTTTCACTTACCATGCAGGGGCCCCTCCACCCAGGTGAAAGTAATGGCTCCTTCTCGGCTACTTTCACTGAATCGTAACAGAAATGTCCCACTCTCCTTATCCTTGAGAAGGGTACGTTCTCGCTCTTTGCTGATAAAGCCCACGATGCTTCTGCAACAGTGAAAAGAAGAAACCCCACACATTGAATTTTGCACAGATCTCCACACCCACCCTCAAAGCTTCGTTTCAGCCCTCTCAATTCGGCCAGCGAGAGGGAAAATGACTTGCTCATTCTTAAAAGCTATGCCTGACCACTTCCCTTCCTTCATTTTTGTATCCTTCATTAAAGAACAGATCTAAGGTAAGCATTTTTAAAAGACTATAAAAACACCTGCACTTTCAACAAGCTGTGTTTGGCACACAGTGGACAACCAGCTAAATATCTCTCTGACAGTTCATTTATGTTGGCCTTGTTTTCCACATATAATGCATATTGTTCCTGTAAAAAGGTTCGTTATTCCCCTCAGGCGACCCCTCCATATTGGCGGGAAACAACAACGGCTGAGTCTTTATAACTTTAACATTAGAACTTTTATTTCCTCCTACATCCACCAGCACATCTTCAAACGATAACATTGGTTCCAACACCGGCAACGGGCCGTTTTCAACAACATTTAAACTTCGATCAATGTCCCATTGGGGTTAGTGACGTGGCTCCCCATAAGATTCTTTGGGCGCCATCGGAGGGTTTTGGAGACTCCTCACTGCACAGATCGTCACACATCTGTGGCGGATCCACCCTCTCTCATCAGGACCCTCAGGGAACGATGTTGTAGCGCTCTCCCTTGCTCGATGAAGTTCAGCTTCCCTTGGGGCCACGATCACATCCCACTCACGAACAGTTATTTTTTGAGGTATTCCTTGAGGATCTAGAGGGTTGGGCAATAAACCGCCCACCTTTAAATTCGGAAAGTCTCTCATTAACCCTTGAAATCGGACTTTTTCGAATGCTCTCCGTCTTTCCTCCCTTTTCCTCTCCTCATAAGCCTTCACCAGCGTACTAAACCACACAACCCCCTCCTCATCCTTATATTCCTCCCCAACTGTCACCTCTGACTCCTCCCACTCCCCTTCAGCCAAGCACACTTCTAACTTCCCCCCCGCCGTCAATTCCTTTCCCTTTTCTTCTTCACTTTCATTGCTAGCCCGTCATTCCTTTCTGCCGTCATCGTCTTTCACTCTGATTTCTGCGGACGGCTCACTTCTATTTTCTACACCTTCACAGTTCCCTAAAAAATGAGCCATTGTGGTGTAGTGAATATTGGATAGAGATGTGCCATTAGGCATTTTTGGACTCCGATTCACACAAACCAGAGGGAGTCAGGCCATGGAGACACCTTGCCCCAGGTAAACAAAACTTGATCTAAGTGTCAGGGGGGTTCCACAATTCAGAGAATTCAGAGAACAGGAGTCTAAAAAATTTTCTGAGTGGCACATCCCTATTACTGACTTGACTAGGACTTCAGGACACCTAGTTCCTAGCACACTGGTAAAAAACCCTTTCACACTGACATTAAGGGGTCTCCTCGTTGCCTTTATGATAGCAGCAGCCCTTAAAGCATAGAAAATTGAATTAAAAGCACATCCAGCTTCACTCTTTTGCTTGTTTCTCCTCTTGGGGTTGGACTTGATGGCCTTGTAGGCTCCTTCCAACTTCACTTTTCTATGATTCTTTCCCTTGGACTTTTCTTGGTTAAAATCTAAGCTCACGGTGCTGAGTATTGGTTAAGGGGGCTCCATGGGCTTCAAAACCGTTGCATTTTTAAGCAAATTGGCACTTCAGTGCTCCAGCTTCCAATTTTTCCAGGTCATGTCAACATCCATTTTCTTTTACTGTGGAATCTTTTGTAGAGAACTATTTACCACAGTTATAATTTTTTTTGTTAATTTTAATTATTTTTAATATTTGTTTTAAATTTGTTTATGCATTTCAAAGCAGCACAGTGCTAGATCAATGTAACAGATAAAAAAAGGTATATAACAGTTTGGATTGCAGGCTACCATGATTCTGGCATCCAATACTTGACAAATTTACATTGACAAAGGCGAGCACGGAATAATAATTTAAAAAACTGATTCAAAATAAACAACGCTCTCATGGATGTTTAAAAACACTTGCTTCATGACAACAAAAAGGGGTGCTCAGCTGCATGTCATGTAGGTGGGTATTTTTAAATTGACTCCAAGTGTACTAACCCTGATGCAAAAATGGAAGTTTTACAACGTGAGACCTAAGTCGTATTGAGTTCACAGAATGAAACTGAAGGGCGTGTTTGACTGGATTATGCCTGGGGACATTCAATACTGCAGGGCTTCAGTGATCATAAGCCATTTCAGATTGAGGCCATATTTATCAAGTTATACAGAACACTGAACTTGTACATCAAAGTGACAGTTCACCTTTTTAGCGCATCAGTGCTTTTTGAAGGCAACTCAAGATAAATCACTCAGTATTGTCTATGGGCAAGGAATAGAAAATGAAAAGCACATTAAGGCAGAGATCACTGATGAAGGTAGAAACGACGTTAAGTCGTGATTGTTACAGGTGGATAAATGAAGGCAGGCTTATTCATATATCTAAATTTATTTAAAAGAAAATGCTGGAAACCTAACAAAGGGCCCTGGTACACCCAGTGGCAGTACGTTTAGCAGTGACTTCTTAGGGCAACTTACTATGCTGTGCCTAGCAACCTCACGCCTGCTTCTAATGCTCCAACCTACAGACACCTACTTGGCAGTTTGGTGTCGCTTGCTGTTAAGAGCCCAAGAAAGAGCCCATGATGATGTATAAGAATGTAAGATGCTGGATCAGACCAAAGGCAAGTCAGATTCTGCATTCCAGTCCCACAGTCACTAGCCCAAAGGTGGCTCGTGAGAAAGGGGTCACTGCCAATTCCCATTTAGGGGTGAGATGTCCATTCCATCCCGGTCCATCAGCTGACCCTGAATGCATCAATCGCTTATAGGAAGCCCACATCAGGACAGGTGTGGCAGAGCGGTGTGCCACATGGCCTACCCAGCCACCAGTATTAGAGGAACACTGCACCTGCTGCTGAAGGGTGGCACAGAGCCATCCTGGCTAGCAGCCACGGGCCACCCACAAGAATACATGCTAACAACCTTTCATCTTACACTCTATCACTCCTTACTTCTGTGAATCCCTACATACGGATCACAAACTCTTTATCTAAGGGTCCTTATGCAAGAGAATGGCATTGGCCACGCATAAGAGAAGGGTACCAACAAATCTGGAGGAATACCCAAGATTTTTGATTTTTGTATTCCCGAACATTCTTATGGTATGCCAGAAAAGCTCTCTCGCCAGCAGGAACTCCCTTCTCGAACAGCCTACTATTCACTAAGCATGCTCCCTGGGCATGGAATACTGACGGATGAAGCCACCAATAAGGATTTCCGGGAGAAATATATGACTCATTAATTGGCAGCTGGAACAACTGTATCCTTGCTGCTCCCATTTGTGTTTATGTTTTACACACTGGCTTGCAAGCAATGACTTTCAGTTTAAGGGAGACTCTGTTTTCCCCTAAGCAAGTCCAGCATTGCAACTCAAGGCCCAAGCCTAACAAAATCGGCAATTTTGGTCTTTTACTGGTTGAAGTGATGATTTGTTTGTTTGAGGAATGCAAACTGTTTTTTGGAAAGAAATAGGCTTCTTCTCTTTCACATCTGTTTGAAGTTGATGCATGCTCCTATTTACCTTTGTCTTAAACCTCTCCATTTTACAAGCGAACACCAAGGACAGCGCTCTGGGGCCCATCCATGAGTGTGTAAGGAAAATGAGGGTGTGAAGTTCTTTTCTGCTGACATGTCCTGTTTAAGTTTGCAACTCAGGTGTTAAAAACAGCCTTGCCGGGACATTAAATCAACAGCAACTTTAGTATTTTCAGCTACTGTGCAGGATATACCCATCCGGAAATGAGCAAAGAGACTGGCATTACTTCATTCCAGATCCACTGTAACAGGAGTCATTCACAATAAAGAACCGTTTTCTCAAGGGAACTAAAATGCCACAAAGACAGGATGTTATTTAATAGGCTCTTGTGATGTGTAAGCAAATTCATTACACTAGAATGCTTACCCATCGTTCCAGAGAAAAAGAAGGTGCTTCTTAATGAGTTCAAGGATTCCTTCAATCCACAACCAGAAAGGGAAGTTTTTATCTGTCATATTTTCCTGAAAGCAGAAGGGGAAAAAGAACGATGCATCAACAGTTGCCACTGAAACTTGCAACGGTCAAGGAGGAACTGTTGCAAGGCAATTTCAAAGGTGTTCTCTTAGACCACGATCCAACGAGGAGCACTGCTTAAATTGTTTCCATGAGTAAAACCACCCCCTAAAGTCTTGATTTAGAGAGGGACTGGAAGCCCTTGGAGCAGTTTTCCAAACTTTACAAACAGCTGCGGGGGGGGGGGAACTGCCTTGCCAATGCTGGACTTAGGCTTTCATTTCTCCCTTCTTGCAGATGTTCATGTCATTCTGGATCCAGCTACATTTTTATCCCCTCTTTTGACATCAGTATGGCAAAATACGTGACTCTCCAGATTTTGTTGGGACTACAATTCCCATCACCTCAGCCGCTGGCTAGACTGTTGGGAACTGGAACACACCCATATCTGGTGGGCCACACACTCCTTGTCTCTGTCACATGTAAACCACCTAACTGATAAGTCCAAAATTTTAGTAGGATCTGTCCTGTCCAACTCCTAGAATTCTCCAAGATCTGTACAGGCAGAATTCTGGGAGTTTCAGCCCACAAAACACACACCTACCTCCAGGGCTGCATTACCTTCTTTGGCCTTTGCTTCCTGTTGTCAATTCAAAAGGGAAAAATGATGCTACCATGAGAGTCATAGTTCTCTGGGAGGTGGCAGCAGATCTGGTTGATCTCCTGAAGAACTACAACTCCCCAGGAAGCACCCTGGCTGCTTTCCTTTTTTGAAAAAATACTGTTTAACAATAGGAAGAAAAGCCTGAGAAGCCAATGCAACCCTCGAGGTAGGCCTTTCTCTAGGAGAGTGAAACGTTGGCATCTGTAGGTGTGCGAGAACTCCCAAAAATCTGCCTGCAGAATTCCTGAAGTCGGAATTGCAAAAAAAGAATAAGCCTACCCCTAGTGCTGAATCTTAAATTGTTTTTACAAGGGCCATCCATCAGCTACAGAGAAGAGGGCGCATAAGTTACTGCCCTTTCTTCCTGAAAATGACAGTGTGTCTGTCTTTCACAGCCTTTGGAATGCTCTCTGAAGGGAAAGGGGAGAGAGAGAGTCGGAAAGGAGAGGGGAAGAGAGTGGGAGAAAGAGCAGAACTTATGAGAGAGACAGGGTTTAGTTTTCAGGAGCAGGTTCTCAAACTGGAATCCCCAGATGTTCTTGGACTGCAATTCCCTAAAAGTTTTCACCACTTGCTGTGCTGGCCAGGATTTCTGGAAGCTGCAGGCCAAAAACGTCTGGGGTCCCACATTTGAGAACCACTGATCTAGCATAATAGAGGGAATACGTTGCTGCAGAATCCAAGGAAAGGTTAGACAAGATCTAAGTATAACAAAAGAAATTAAAGTTGGCAATCAACTAGCTTATAATGATTATTGTGGGTTTTTTGGGCTCTTTGGCCGTGTTCTGAAGGTTGTTCTTCCTGACGTGTCGCCAGTCTCTGTGGCCGACATCTTCAGAGGACAGCACTAAGACCAGAGCACAGAGTGCTGTCCTCTGAAGATGCCCATGGCCACAGAGACTGGCGACACGTCAGGAAGAACAACCTTCAGAACACGGCCAAAGAGCCCAAAAAACCCACAACAACCATTAGATCCCGGCCGTGGAAGCCTTCGCGAATACATTATA